GCCATATGAAATTTTTAAAAGTACATAAAATAGTATCATGAGAAACTTAAGCGGTGAGAGCTCAACTCTAACGTCAGACAGACCTGAGATCTATTTCTAGTTCCCCCACCTAATAGCTGAGCAAATTTAAGCAAGTTACTTAACTTTTCCTAAGCCTCAATCTCTTCACCAGCAAAATGAAGAGAAGTGTATTAGGCAGGGTAGCTAATTACTGTAAAATACAGCATCATAATTTCAGAGGCATAATTTAATAAAACAAGTAAAATCCAACACAGGTGTTCCTCACCATGCTTGGACGACATTTCTGCAAGGATTAATTTGGGGCCCCAGGCTTTTTGAGTTTGGTGGTTTTGACCTCCTCTAAATTCTTTGAAGTTTCATTCAGCTGGTAAGTGTGGAAAGAAAGAGAATATGGAGCATGTGTAGGATGTTCTAGAGTTTTTGTGGGCCAAACCTTAAATGGCTTTCATCATTTCTATTCACATTCCACTGGACAGAAATCAGTCACATGACCCCGAGTAATTACAAAGGAGGCTGGGAAATACAAGGTGTTAGGTGTGGAGTAAAGAAAACAGACTTTGGTGAGCACAAATTTGTCTCTGCCACTTAAGGTCATGAGGTTGTTTTAGGGTTTAACTGAGCTAATGCATGTAATGTGCTTAGCACAGGGTATGTCACCAACAAAGTTATATGTTCCTATTTTTATCACGAGTATGTATGCTGGGAGTGTGAATAAGGGTCCCACAGTTGGAAGTAGAGTATTTGCTTGGAGGTTCTACTAAGAGAACTCAGATACATTCAAAGAAAAATCCTGACCTTTTAAAGGTTATGATCTTTAATTCATTTGGCAGCATCAGAAGATATAAACAGAAAGGTAAGGTAGGAAGGGGATGCCAAGGTGTTTATATCAGCTTAGCTAACAGAATGTCAAAATATTATAATTTAAATAACCCTAATTTCCAAGAAGAGTGGGAATAGGGTAAACTGGTAGATTCTTTAGCTTTGGGAATGAGCTTAAGTGAAGTAGTAAGGGGTAAAAATTATGGTTAATTCTGTCTTCCAAATTCTTTTTCTCTCTTACTCTCTTAAAGTTTAGACATCCTCAAGATTCTTCAGGTGCAGTAAGTTTTCTTCACCCCACTTATTTCTCCTCTGTTCCCATTTAAAATATTGCAAGCTCTAAGAATAGAGACCATGTTTGTCTTACACATTATTGTATCTTTGCATCTAGCAATACCTAGCATAGAGTATGTAGGCAAGAATTTGTTGAATAAATGTCATCTGTATTGGTAGTTGCTTCAAGTCTTGCTGAAAGGGTCTAGGTAAAGTAATGGAAAGACAAGTTTTTAAATCTTGCTTATGCCACTGTAGTATCTGTGGGATTCTGGGCTTCTAAGACTTAACTTTTTTTTTTAAAACAACAGAGAAAAATTATATAAGCACTTAACTCCTAAAACTTTTTTTCCCTTATATTAAATGGTACAATACTTTTTATAGTAATGAGAATTAAATGAAAAATTTTAAGTGTTCCAAACACATGAAAGGCACTAAAAAATGGTTTCTTTTTCCCCCTGGACACCAACCTCTCTACAGCATATTTTGTAATTTGAGAGCCTAGGAAATATCAAGTGCTATTCAAAATTTCTTTCTGTTTTTGTTTCTATTCATTTGTAACTAAAGCACATAGGCTTTTAAGTTGGTGATCACAGTAAAGAGCTTATTAGTTCCCAAAGGACTGATGAGTTCATTGTTGTAACAGTATTTAGCACTTAGAACAGTGCCGGACACACAGTGGGTGTTCAATACATGTATTTTTGTGAATGAATTAATAAAACACTGAAATAAGTCTGATCCTCCAAATGGATAATTATGGAATGTACATGCTGTAAGTATGAAAAAGTGGGCAGGTTTTACCCAATGAGAGGTTTGGAGTAGTGTTTCCAAATGAGTGACTTTTAAGTGTTTTCATTCATTCATTCATTCATTCATTCATTCAACTAGCATTATACTGTGTGTCTACTGTGGATCAGCCACAATATTAACAAGAAGATATCTCTGTGCCTCATGCTAGCACAATAAATTACAAAAATAATTGGTAGGAGGATGTATAAGATACTAGAGTAACAGAAATAAACCACTGACTACTTACCAGGGTGTGAAAAAGCATGGCATACCCAGTAGTGTGACACTGGCAGGAGTGCATGTAGAGGACTGGAGAGAGATAAAGCTCAACATACTTAGGCAGGGGCTAGATCATGAAAGGCTTTACATGCCAAGCTAAGAGTCCTAAATTTTATCCTCTATAGTAGTGCATGGGGTGCTACTGAAGGGTTTTAATGCAAAGAAAAGATAAACACATTTTAGGTTCAGAAAGATCTGGATTGGAGAGTTGAGGTACAAGAGACAGAGAAATCAGCTAAGAAGTTATTAGAACAGTCTACATGGGGAAGAGATCATAAATCATAAAGGCTAGAACTAAGGCAAGAGATGTGGTGTTAGAAAGAAAATGGGTTTGAGGGATATAACTAGATTAGGCAAGGTAAGAGAAATAAGAGAGAAGGAGGGCTAAGAATGAGTCACGGTTTTCTGACTTGGACTTCCGGGCAGGTGGTTAAGGCCATTCCTGGGATAAGGAACAAAGAAGAAGATCCACATGGATTAGGGATACGGAATGGGCCAGGACAAGAGAAGTCATTTTTGGCCATAGTGAGCTTGAAGCATCTGTGGGATAAGTAAAGATATTTCTTGAAGAGACAAAGGAAAGTAGGACACACAGAAAACTTAAGTATATAGGACAGGGCAGGCTGGTCAGTAATTCCTATCCTTAGAATACATCCCCATCAACTTCTAAATTTCTTCCTATCTTTCAGTTCACCATTGTACATAAACCTCTATAATGATCACTGATTACTTATTTAGAAACTTGTAAAATGCATTGTTGAAAAAAGTACAGTGATATTATCCTATAATGTCATTCATAGTAGTGAAAAAATACGTTTCCTGCTGTGTACTTAGGAATAACTTATACATTTTTCCTATGGTGGAAATATTTAGCTATTGGCAGCTAAATGCCATGCTCATGTTGACTTACCTCAGCAGGAGGAGTATTAGTGCAGACACTCAGGCCAATTGGTAATTCACACAGTTGAACCCATAGAAGGGTAGCAAGGATGGCATACATGTCTTGACGATTGGGTAACTGTACTACACAATGGACATGGGCAGCAAACTGGGCACCAAACTGCAGTTGGACTGCAGATGCACTGAAGGAAGTCATTAACATTTTGTGAAATTTGGGATTGGCTTGACAAAGATGAAGCCTGCTGGTTTAAGACTGTATGTTCTTGGCAAACCATGGTGCTGCAGAATTTCACCAGCCATAGTGAAACAAGGTGGGGAAGGGAATGGGAGGAGACATAAAATCTGTGATACCATACATAAAATGTTAACTATTAGCATTGCATCTTCTGAGAGTCACCAGATTGAAGCACGAATTTTGGATTTGGCTGGCAGATGGTGTACACAGACTTTTGGAGTATGTTAGCATTTCATCTGAAACTAGCAAGATTACGTAGGACTATCACAGTAATTTAACATTCACAGATTTTTTTTTAAAGATTTTTAATTTATTTATTTGACAGAGAGAGAGATAGCGAGAGCAGGAACACAAGCAGGTGGAGTGGGAGAGGGAGAAGCAGGCTTCCCGCCCAGCAGGGAGCCCCATGAGGGCTCGATTCCAGGACCCTGGGATCATGACCTGAGCTGAAGGCAGACGCTTAACGACTGAGCCACCCAGACGCCCCAACATTCACACAGATTTTAAAATTTATCCCTAAACCTGAGTTAAATGTGAGGCCCTAATTACATTTACCAAGGCTCTATTAAAGATATGGATCTCATTGAACAGATTCACAGCATATAGTAATTCCTCTAAAATGTCTACAAGTCAGTGTCAGTGTCTCCTTTCCCTGAAAATCTGGTTTACCCAAGAGAAAAAGGGCCAAAGGGAAGAAAAACTAAACCCGGGAAGATGGCAGGTAGTGATGTCTCAATTCTTTGAATGGGACTTCTCCATTCACCAGCCTTCTCACTTCCTTCTATGGTCTGGACCTTTAATCACCTCGGCAGTCAGCCTTGTAGGGTCAAGCTAATCTCGACATCATCCTACTACTTCCCTTTTCAAATTCCAGTGAAGTTATGTGTTTCCTGTCCTATTTGACACCCTAGAAAAAGAATAGGGACCGGTTAGTATCTAAATTTAGTCCAGCAGCAACGTGTCTGAGTTTTCAGAGGAGAGATAAACAAAAACAGGTGACATTTCCAAGCCTTTCAAGAAAATGGGAAAAACAAAAAAAAACAGGACCCAACCCTTCTGGGGTAAGTAAGCAGGGATAGCTTCAACAGTTCCACAGTAGGGAGAGGCCTGCTGGCCAGGCTCAGAAAACGGACCGACTTAAGCGTTTTCCTTTTCCTTAAAGCCAGGAGGACGGCTTGGCGTGGGGGGGGGGGCCGTCAACACAATCTTGACTCAGCCACTAAAGACCGGGGAGCCGGAGCCCTTACAGCCCCTTCCTCACGCAAAGCTGTAAAGGCGGCCGCACCTCCTCTTTGTCAAGCCGCTGGTTTCTACCACAGGCACGAGGAGACCCTTCGGCTGGGAGAGGGGAGAGCCAGACGCCACTCCCCAGCCCGCCCCCTGCACGCCGGACTCGCCACCCCTCCCCCGCCCCACCTCCCCTCTGTGACCCCCGCGTCCCGCCTCGGGCGACCTGTTGGCAGGGAGCGTCACGTGACGCGGCCGGCCGCGCACTGCCCCAGGGCGGGCCTCCTGTTGCGCCCGCCGGGCGGGTTCCATCACGTAACGCGCGGGCACCGCCCCGCTCTTCCTCGCGGCGCGAGGGAGGGCGGGCGTCGAAGAGGAAAGGGAAGGGAAAAGGGGCGGGAGAAGGAGACGGAGGGGCGGTGCCTGAGTCACGTGACCGGGGACAGCCCGGAAAGCTCCGAGGAGGAGCCTGGCGCCGCCATTTTCCTGCAGCTGCCTGTCCCTCTTGCCCTGCCCGGCTCCAGCTGACCAGGGAAGGGGTGGGCTGAGCTGAGGCGGGGGCAGGGGAGTGCCCGATACCGTGCCTGACCCCGCGGGTGACACGAGCCGGTTCTTTCCGGGCTAGGTGGCAGCGCGCGGCCCTGAGCCCCGCCCCAGGCCGGCAGGCGGAGAAGGAGCCGGTGGGGGTAGGGGGTGCGGTGGGGGGGTGGGGGTCCTCCGGCGCTTGGGGATCCCAGTCCCCGCTGGCTGCCGAGCGGGAGGGGTGGCGGAGGAGCCGCAGAGATGTCCGGACAGAGCTTGACGGACCGAATCACCGCCGCCCAGCACAGTGTCACCGGCTCCGCCGTATCCAAGACAGTATGCAAGGCCACGACCCACGAGATCATGGGGCCCAAGAAAAAGCACCTGGACTGTGAGTGAAGCCGACCGCGGCCCGTCCCCGCGACCCGCGTTCTTCTCCCCTTCTCTTTTCTTACCCCTTCAGCTGCCTCTTCTTCCCTGCGTCTTGTCTGGCACGGCGGGTCCTGTGCTGCTCCGAGGTGTGTTCTTTTTCCTTCCATCATACCTGCCTTCACGGCTTCCGTTCCCTGTCTAAAAATCCCTCTTAAGCCACTCCCCTCCCCCCCCCCGGGGTACCTAGAGGACCCTCGCTTTCCTGCCGGGTGCGCCACGAAACCCCATCACACCGGACCAATCTGCCTCTCCACCTAGCTTCTCACCTTCCTGCCGCCTCTGTCTACTGCAGCCTTCTGCTCTTTGATCCCACCCGTCCCGTGCTGCCTAGTAGCCCTCTCCTGAGCGTCTCTCCGTTTGCTCCTGGTCTCACCGCCCCATTGTTTCCCCATTAGCCTTCGGGTTCCGTAAACGCCCGGTTCTGTGGACCTAGATCCCTATTGCTCCTTAGTCCTGAAGGCTGCCTCCCTTGAAGTGATTTCCAGTTCCTTTGCTCCACTAGCCGCTTCTGTCCATTCCCTTTTCGGGTTTCTCTTCCAGCTCTCCTCTCCCATTTGGGTTACATTTCTTGGCCTCTGTAGCTTCAGTTAGGTTCCTTCGTCTCATTTTATGTCGGACATATCACACTCAATATCCGACTCTTATCCCAGATTACTTTCTTTGTGGGAGTGAAAGTAAAGGTATTCCGTTTGGTGTAGGGAACGCTTTGTGGGAAGTTGGGATTTTTAATTGCCTTTGGTGGAATTCAATCATCATGTTTTTATGCTTTTTAGAAAAGTTGTGAATGTCAGCCCCCCCCGCCCCCCCCCGGTGTTTCTTTTTCTAACGGGGATCTGGAAAAGGATTGGCTGAGAGAGGTATCATTTCCTGGAACTGTTAACCCTGGCAGTTTGAATTTAGATTGAGTATGAAGTGTAGATTATTGGAATAAAAAATGGATTAATATCAAACCTACAAATAACATACATCTCTTTAAAAATGCTAAAAAAATGATTGATGATGCTTGAGTTTGGACTCCTTTTTAATTTATGCTGGTTATCTCGGGGGACCAGCTTCTCTTATCCGGCATTATATTACTACATTCACTAACTTACATACAATTACCATAGCTAACTCCTCCCAACTTTTTCCAAACCTGGAAGCCACTTGTAATATGCTCATTTTTCTTTCCTTTACCTGGAGGTAAAAAGCTCAGTGGATTACTCAAGCTTTGACTCAGTGGAGTGACCTAAAACTTTTAAGGAAAAAAAACCAGGGAAATAGGCACAATAATTTCCTTTTTTAAATGGTAACTGGACATATTAGCCTGACTGACTTTTATTCTCCTGAAAGTTACTTTGCTTTACTGTTTGAAGCAAGAGTGAGCATGTCCTGAAAGGGAATTCACTGACAGGAGTCCTGTTTTGATTTCTCATTTGGACTTCAGCTGTAAGGTCTACACTTAAAAAAAAAAAAAAAAATGTACAAAATGTGAATTCTTCCAAGATACTTTGCTCATGAAGTGCTGTTAGAACAAGTTATGCTACAGACAAACCTATTATTCATTGTGACTTGTTCCTTCACTGTGGAAAAGTTAAAAAAAAAAATCATTACTGCTTGGTTTTCCTCTTACGCACTGGTCATGCAGGCTGATTTTAACTATCAGTCCTTGTCTGTTTAGAAAATGCAGAATATATTTAAATGGTGACACTTTTATACATGGAAAATTCTTTGAATTGTGAAGCCATACGTGATTTTTTTATTATCTAATATTGGAGTAGACAGTTTTTTTTTTTACTTCCCTTCAAGTGAGTGCTTGGCTTGCTGTAGCCAATCTTATGGTTTGACTTAATACTGTTAATTCTTGTTTTTTCTTTTGGGTGATGGGGGGTAGGTGAAAAAACTACTTGTTACTGTAAGAACTATTTTCTTCTCAAATTTATCAAAATGATAAATTATAAAAATACGTATAGCTTTTTAAAGTCTTTATAAAGGTTTTTGCATTATTTCAGATGTAGCAGTAGTTCTTTTAACACATTGCGAAGAAGGGTAAAAAATAGGCTAGATATGGCTAGGAGGGTGGTCTTTGCTTGTGGTTTTGTTAGTGTTAGCCTTTTTCTCTTGTAGTAACAGCTACTGCAGATGCCAAATGGGATTAGGTTTGGAGGGTAAACTCATCTCTACCACTGCCGTGGTAGGAACTTGAATATTCCTGGTAATGTGTGATTTTTTTTTTCTTTAAATCCATATAAGTTGCCACTACTCTAGCTCTTTTCAGTGAGGTTTTAAAATACTCTTTTCCCTATATTGTTTTAAATGCGCTTGTAACAAGTTTTCAGTAATGATGTAAATTAAGTAAAGTCTGGGCAATCAGTGGTTTTTCTAAACACCTTCCTCCCCCACACACTTTAACATGCTTTCAGAAAATTAAAAAGGCTTTCACAGACAGTTGTGTCTTGACATCATGAACTTCAGGCTTTAATGTAGAGATGATTTTTCCTCTTTTAGGAATTTTTCTTTCTAGGGAGGGCTTGGTTCTGTTGCACCTTTTAATATCTTGAATGACTGTTGCCTAGTTAGTTGAACTTAGTGAAAGCAATTTCATTTTTTAAATATTAGTCTGTAACAAAAATATGCTTAGGACTGTTTTTTTTCCTATGGCACTGTGGAGGTGGTTTCTGTGTACTTCACCAAGGTGTTTCCATATTAGGAAGTGATTATTATAATCTACGAATTATGGCTTAATTCATGCTACATTATATACTTTAAGAAAGATCTTTTGCTTTGCTTATAGGTGTCTGTAGATAATAGTGTTAACTAGGGTCCCTAGTGTGAGGAGTTGTCCAACTTGAAACATGTGAAAATAAACACGATTTGCATTTAGTTTCGGGCCTCCAATGGTTATAATCAAGGTAGAAGAATAGCAACCCTTAAATTGGAAGGACTTGAATTTGCCAGGCACTTATTAACCATTATCTAATTTACTTCTCTCATGGCTATGGGAGAGGCAAGCCATATGCTTAGGAAGTAGTTTCTAATTCCATTTAAAGAGGATATAGAATGCTTCAAACATCCGTAATAAAGTATAAACAAAACACAATTTTTATTTTTTATTTTTTAAGAGAGGGGTGGAGGAGGGGCAGAGGGCGAGGAAGAGAGAATCTTAAGCAAGCTCCACGGCCAGCACAGAGCCCAGCAAGGGGCTTGATCCCACTACTCTGATACCGTCGTGACCTGAGCAGAAATCAGGAGTCTGGGCGCTTAACTGACTGAGTCACCAGGTGCCCCAAAACACAGTTTTTTAAATTTATAAATTCTTTTTTTTTTTTTTTAAAGATTTTATTTATTTGACAGAGAGAGACACAGCGAGAGAGGGAACACAAGCAGGGGCAGTGGGAGAGGGAGAGGCAGACTTCCTGCCGAGCAGGGAGCCCGATGTGGGACTCGATCCCAGGACCCTGGGATCATGACCTGAGCCGAAGGCAGACGCTCAACCGACTGAGCCACCCAGGCGCCCCTAAATTTATAAATTCTTAATTTAAAAACTATTCTTGTCTGACTTCCTAACCTTTCGTCTTATTTTGTTTTTTGATATGAATACTTAATTTTTTTTTCTCTGTTTAATTTACTGTTCTTGGGCATTTACATTGTAACATGTTGCACTGAAATACAATATTTATGTTAATGGTAATAATGGCTTCACTTTTTTATCCGTATTTTTTCTTACTTAATTTCCAGGGATACTTCATTCCATCCACTGCCTTAGATCTTGACAACAAATAAAGATCTTTTTTTTTTTTTTAAGATTTTATTTATTTGACAGATTTTTTTTTTGCGAGAGAGGGAACACAAGCAGGGGGAGTGGGAGAGGGAGAGGCAGGCTTCCTGCGGAGCAGGGAGCCCGATGTGGGACTCGATCCCAGGACCCTGGGATCATGACCTGAGCTGAAGGCAGACGCTTACCGACTGAGCCACCCAGGCGCCCACAAATAAAGATCTTGTTCTTATTAAGCACCCATTATAAGTGTATCTCTGTAGTAGATATAGTGTGGGATTTGTATGTTGTGTGCTAGATCTGTACCCTGCCTAAAATTGTGGGAACAGTTTTTTTAAAAGTAAGAATTTGTGAATGTATTGAATATGTAGAAGGTGGAATTTGTATTTGAATTAGTGGTTTGTATAACCCTTGAAAATGTATGTAAAATATCAAAAAGTGCCTGAAATAATTACCTTTTTAATCAAGTGTATTGGTTTGTGACTTCCATTGGGTGCTTAGTTCGCATATTGTTGAGAAGGTATCTGGTAACTGGGATCTGATTTGCAAGAAGATGCGTGTGAGGAAGATACTAAGCGGGAAATCTGCACCAAGATATGTCTTGTTCAGAAATAAAGTGAGGCTTTCCAAATGGATCTTGTTTTAAAGAGGCAGGTGTTTTGTGGTTAATGTATGGACTTACTATTCTTTCTCCTAAGAATTAACCGTATGATTTATATTTTCCCTTTTCATTATTTAACCTATTCTGTCCCTTACTGTTTAGTCTTTAATAGTTCTGAAATACAGAAAATGGTAACGGAGTCAAGTATGTCAAATGCCTGATGTATGTAGTAGAACTACACAAATGTAATTTTTTTCCTCCTTGATATATACAGTTATGTTTCTGAATTGTATGTATTTTAAAAGAGAAACTCAGAAGAGAACTTGATACATAACCATTTTGGTAGCTGCCTTATTCATAATTAGCAAATTAATTCTAAAATACCTTTAAAAAGTACTTAGGCTTCACTAGTGGACTTGTTATTTTTAAAAACTCTTAATATTAGACTCTAGGCATCTATTTTTTATCCTTATAGCAAGGCTTTTTATTTATGTTTACTGTATATTTTATATATCTGGATAATTTTTAAAGGTGTTTTTGAATTTAGAGTGGCAGATGAGAAGTAACACTTCATAAGAGGTGACTAGGCTTTTTTCCTCATTTG